GTCCCACCGGGCGTGCCAATTTGTTTACGGTGAAATTCGTTCGTGGACTCTTTATATTCGAACTAGCACGTAAATGGTTTCAATTTAGGCTTTTGATTTAAGAACAGGAAATGGAGTGGACAATTTTAGTAATTACTTGTTTCTAATGATTCTTCAACAATTAACAAGCAATAATTTCCAGACATATAAATGCTAAGATGAACAGAATGGATAATTAAAATATTTGCAATACAAATCATGGCTCAACTTGCATACTGTTCCAGAATTACAATGCCAAAATGATATAACTTCATGGATTACAAGAGATAAATTAAAAGAGCTACACTAATTCTACTCCTAAAAAGCAAGGTAAAAATGGCCAAGAATTAGTCATACCCAAAAATGATTCTGTGCACGAAAGCCATATGCACGGGCAGAGAGTATTTGAGAATTTAGTTCTGACAGTATGAGTTTTTCCGACCTTTGTGACAATGCATGCTTCTTGAATTTATAGAGTGAATCAATGACGGTTAACTCACTCAGACGCTCGTGCACGTAGGCCACTATGAGATAACCGCTACCCACTATGCTCATTATGTGGCTTCTAAAGTGTAACTTCCCATAACCGTTCTTCGCGTATACTAACTTCTCGACTTGGACGCTAACTGTCTTTGTATGATCATAAGCACCTACACAACTTCACCAAATCTCGAACATTGTTCAACTCGAAATAATTGTCTTCGATCTCGAATCAGCTGTTATTGGCAGGAGTTGATCTCAATATTTTTCGAGAAGTTTTATGTATGCTTCAAACTTTTCGACTATATTTCTAGCACGAATACATAAAACTCCTAAAACGTTCTAGATAGGTGTTCATCCTCCTCCATCTTTCGATTAGTTTCATAAGTACGTCTTTCGATTTCCCTGATTTTCGAGTAGTCTCAACAAATTCCCCCTAGAAATTCAATCTTGATGTGTACATCAGCCAGAAAGATTGAGTTCATTCATTATATTAGTAGGTCTATCATCATAGATTTCTTTAGGTTCCATGAAAGGATTCCTTCTAGGATATACCTTTCACACTTATTTGATGAAAATATCACCTATGATGAATTTTATTATATAATTGTAGGTATGGCCAATAATCATGAGGACCCTCGAGATTTGAGGTCAAATCCTTTTCAAGAGAGAGGGGATGATAGACTATGGCCAAGGCCAAGGAATCCAAGAGGTGATATACTAAAAGAACCAAGAGGAATGGGATGATCTTAAAGACCTTTTTCTTATGTTTGTACATATAGTAGCTCTTTTGTATAGGTTATTTTTGCCTTTGTATTTGTGAGGCACTTTACTTGCTTTTTCTAGTGTTTGTATATTGATTTTAAGGTAGGCTACTTGGAGAGTTTAACTCCATTTAACCTCCCTAGTTGATACATTCATTTTGTATTTTTTCAGTAGAGAAAAGGGGGTGACATTTAGCAATACTTGAGGGTGTGACTAGTAATTGGGCCAGAACTGGGCCTAGGCAAAATTTTGCATATTGGACTCATTTTGCTCCTAATTTTTCATAGATTTGATTTAGCTAGGTCTCATCATCATATGATGAACCTAACTAAACCAAATCAAATATTTTTGAAATAAATCTTGGAGCAATTTGGAGCCAAGGCCGCCTAGCATTCTCTCTTGTTCATGGCCGAAAATTACTAGTTTTCCTTCTAGTTTTTGAAGCTTCTCCTCCAAGTTTCTAAACCATTGTAAGTTAGGCTGACCTTACCATGGTTCTTAAGTGAACCATGGTCAAGGATAGCTTCTCCTACAAGTTTTAGAAACCATGGATGGTTAGCTACACCTTACCATGGTTCCTAGTGCACCATGGTTAAGGTTAGCTTCTCCTAGAAGCTACCTCCCCTATATATTTGTAAAACCCTCTCTTGTAATCACTTTTGGACATTTATGAGAATTAGAAATCAGATTTCTCTCTCATTTTCAAGAGTCAAATTCGTGAGGAACCTTCTCCTAGGTTCTCTCTCAAAGTTCCTTCTCCTAGAAGCTTGGTTTCTCAAGCTTCTTCACCTCTCTAAGAGGTAACCGAACCTCTTCAAAGGTGCTTCTCCTCCATTGAAGCTTCTTCAAAGGAGAATTCCATGGTCAAAACGTGATAACCTCATGGAGCATTTTCGGTCCTTGCATGGAAGCTTGGATGGACATCAATCTTCACCAAGTGCTTCCATCATTGTACCTTACTCAATTTTGGTTGACTTGGCCCCATACTGCATCAACCAAGGTTTTAGGAGAGACTTAACACTCTACTTCAAGAGTCAACTTTTCAAGAGAAGAATTTTCAACAACTGGACTTATAGAGTACCACGACACAATATCCTTACAGTGAGATATTCAACTTTTAAAACAACTTTTCTTCTAATCCTAAGTAAATCAACACAACTCAACACCATGCCTTAAACATTCTCAAGACAACTAATCTACACTTCACAACAACAAAACTAAAAACCTAATTCCAATTAACCAACTCTCAACCAATTTAGAAGTATTTCAAATAGAATTTAGCAATATCAACACAAAATCAACAATTTTTCAAGCTCTCATTACAATTTTGTGACCATATGCTCAATTTGGGTGATTAGAAATTGTTTGATATTTACTTATATATGAGACAATACATTTATCACGTCTTTGAGATGTGAGTTCTCTAAGTTTAACTTTTGAAAATATTTATCATTTTTGACATGAGATGCTAGGGAATGTGTGAAATAATTTTGGTATTTTTATCTGACTATAATGTCAATGTGATTTTCTCCATTCTATTATAATATTTTACATAACATAAGATGTTATAGAGATGCCATAAATTATGATATTTAACACCATGGATTTTCCATTGTATTAAAAAATACAATGATGATTAATTGAGTCTTGGACCCATATAAGACAAAATTTACTAATGTTATGTCATTACACTTCATTATAGTGAAATTATTTTGAGATCAACCAATAATAACTATTGAATTAGAGTTTGTTACTCTAGAGATGGTTGATTATGAGGTTTAGTGTTGAGAATCTCTTAGCAAATATTCCATTGAAATATAGAATTAAGAAATAATGTGATATAACAATTGCTTAAAAAGTTTGGGAATTTTAATGTGTAGTTAATGATGGATTTGGTCGATCCTCTAACTTCAAACCCATAGGGAAGATATTGTTTATGAAACATTTAGAGTTACTTATAAAATAGAGAGGAATAAGATTTTATTTAAGTTACTTGAAACAAACAACGACGGTAATCTAATCTTTGTGATTAGAGATCCCATAAAGAATGTTCAATGGAAGTCACCTGTTAGTTCTGTTAACATCAAATTGATTTTGATCAATTTTAATTTTTTAACCCCTTCCTATGATGTGAAAAAGTGTTAAGGCTCCATTATTAAAAGGATAAATTTTATAACTAAGCTTTATGTAATTTTGATAAAGCTCAACTTTTTATAAAGATTTTAATGATTTTAATATCCTTACGAGTAATGTATGAATTGCAATATAAACTTGATGAAATCACATATATGAGTGTTAAGTGTGATCGCTTGTATGAGATCTTGATGAGATCTCTAGAACACTCATAAATACTATATGGCCTGAAGGCGCAACACAGTGATAACGATAATGATTGTAGGGGTGTATTGTAATCGATTAACCTTTGATACATGTCAAGTATTTTGAGTTCAATAGTTTGCTACACTCATTATAATGTATGTTAAGTTTTTATTAATATGTGTTTGGTTCAATAGCTTGCTACACCAAGCTTAATGTATTGTATTCTATTCATGAAATTAACCTTTTAAAATTTCTCAAAATATATAATAAAATCAAATGAAAAATACATCCTAGGAACAACTAAAAAATAATGTGAAATTAGATTTTTTCAATTTTTGGTTGCTATTTGGATTTATTTTCATACAATTTTCTTCGTGTTTATAACATTTTTTGGTTTAAATTTTAGTTTCATTTAATAATTTTTATATAAATAATTATAATGAAACATATTTCAAGTATTAACTTGATTAAAAAAAATTTAAATTGTGTCTCAAAATTTAAAATAATTATTATTTAAAAAGATTAAATCAATCAAAATTTAAGAGATAAAAGATCAAAATAACTATTTTAAAAGATAAATAATTAAAATAAATCTCACAAAAATATAATTTAGTCACAAATTTATTAAAATAAATAGGAAGTTACAAGACTTTGTTATTTTAATAAATTTGGTTGAATTGTTAATAATGTATAAATGTGGTATATCCTTCTTTATGGTAGTATATATTTTCTAAATCGTCTTTTAACATTTCACAAATTATATATAAAAAAAAAACATATTTTTTAAGTTTTAACCAAACAAATAAAAATAAAAATTCCCATCTCGAAGTTTGTTTTATTCGTTTTGTGAGCTTTCCCATCACCAAACTTGTGTGTTTTTTGCTTCCGAGCTCTGAACTTGACCGACGCTGCTTTCGCATAAAAAAATGGCTTTCTTCTTCAACAAAACAAACATTGCATCCCATTTTCGATCTCATTCCCAGGTAGTCCTAATTTTCTTAAAACAAATCTGAGTTATAATCATTATCAATTTCATATAACGTTTTCCTTTTCGCTTTCTCTCTGTGATTTCGTTTTTCTTATACCCAAAATCCCATTTTGAGAAAACAGAAGACTGAAGATTTCGCTTCTTTTCCGCGCCGTCGATTCCACGTCGAACCCGGGCCTCGTGAAAAAGCTGTAAGCCTTAACATTTTTTTTTTAGATTTGATTTTTTTTTCACGATTCAATCATTTTGGTGCATCTAGATCACTTATTTCGACTTGTAATTACTTTGGTTTAACCTTATATTTGTAAAAAAAAAAAAAAAAAAAGGGGATTGAGAAAATCTCGTCCATTAAGTTGGTCAATAAAAACCGTTGTTTTTTTTTTAATAGATTTATTTTGTAGACAAATATTGGGATTCAGGGTTAGGAAAATTGCTGAAATGAGATTTTGATCCTGTTTCTACGAATTTGTCATTCGGTTTCAGTATTGGCTATTGCAATGAATAAGTAGAGAACTTTCTACTCATTATATTGTTGAAAAATAAAAATAATGTTGGTTTCCAACTTCTTTGAATGTATGTGAATTCTTTGCGGTACTTCATTTAACATGCATACTGTATTGTTCAGCGGGCATCAGTTTTGAGATGTTTTTTCATTTGCTTGTGCATTCAATTTTACTGTTTGGATTTTATTGCAGCTCCTGGCAGAAGATTCATCTCTGAAGCCATTCAAATCCTATAAGAAGAGTGTAAAAAAGCTCAGAAAAATTGGGGATGTTCTGACAATTGTTGTTGTTGCAGGTATGCTGTCTTTTAACTCTGATTTTGATTATTGGAGTGAGAGTTTGTTTGAGATGTTGTGATTCGTGAATGGAAGTTGAATGACTTTGATGTGGAAAAAAAAACCTGTGAGGAGTGCTTTATTATCTCTCAATGATTGAAATCGCTTGTTAATGAGCTGAGAGATTTTATGTTTGTTTGAACTGGACTTTGTTGTTACAATTTATGTGCTGATGAAGCAGTCTGAAATCTGAAGTCTTCTAATTGCTAAAACATTAGAATGGGCCTCATGATTTTTCTTTTTACATGTTTTTGTTTCATTTCAATTTCTTTTGGCTTTATTCTCATTCTCATATCATTCTAAATGTAAAATTTATTCTTGTAGTCCTAATAAACTAACTTTGGTAACCATATTAATTTTGAAAAAAACTTAGATAAAGGATTTTAGATTCTTGCAATCAAGTTCTCAAAGCATGTAATGACATGTGAGTGTTTTTTTCCCAACATCAGTAGCCTTCGTTGATGCTAAGTTTCAGAATTTAAGAAAAACATCCATGTATTTTGCTAAGAAAAACATCAATAGCTCTCCTCAAACATCCATGAGAATTTGGTCCAAGTTTTATCTTATAAGCTATGATGCACCGATACGATACGCGTATCGGATGCGACACGTATCCGATACGGCGATACGATTATTTAAAAATATATAGGATACGATACTTGTAAGATACGTGTTATCATATGTATTAATGTTCATACAATATAATAAATGTGTACAAAATTTTGATCAAAATTCATAAACATTAAATATATAATTGTTATTTTGCAAATCCAAATTAAAAACATACTTATTGTACACTACTAAAAGTAAATAAATTATAAATCATTTCATCATAAATTACTTTTTATTTTTTACAAATAGAAATAATATTACCAATTTCATTCCTTTCTTAAAATTATAGAAGACAATTTTCATTTACAGTTCATCAAGGACCAATAGTTCTATGTTTCTATATTAAACATGTTTATAGCTGTAATGAATATTTCATAATTTTTCAAAAATTTGAACACTTTATTGATACGTATCACTAATAAGTATCGGTGAAGTATCTGAAAGTATCAAAATTGAATAAAATTTTTATAATATTTTTAAAGGCTAGGATATTTCATTGACACGTATCGGTGAAATATCCAAGAGTATCGTGTTAGATACGTATCAGATATGGATACGTGAAGCAAATTGAAGTATCCGTGCTTCATAGCTTATAAGTATTTGTAAATTTTTTTTTGATTTAATCTTACCTAGTTGTTTGAGGAGGGTGGTTGTGGAATAGGGTGGAGTGGTGGTGTTTGCCAAACTAAAAATACTGGCTAAATGCACATACAGGGAGCCTGTTTTTGGTAAGCTACTAAGCTTCGAAGGGAAAAACGAATTGTTCCAAATTCCAATCAGTGTTTCTAACTGGTTTCTCTGAGGTTGAACTTATGAACAACTTAATTCGAAATGATCTGAACCAGATTTGATGTTTGTCTTGGGCAAAGCCCTTGGTGATTTAGACATCCAGTATGCTTCTGCAGTTTGATTACTGAAACATGATTACTTCACAAATAAATTGGCTGAAGATCATAGATTATGAAAAGCACATCATGAAGAAATTTTCTGAACTAAGACCATTGAAAAGAGGGCAGACGTGGTCCTCTTTAATTCTTTTGGGGTGAAGCATTTTGGTTTTTGGATATAGTCATTGTTACCGGGCCTGTTTGTGGTAGAGTTAGTAGGTCATTTTTCTTCCTGAGTATATTCTGTGTATTTGTTTCTTTTCTACATTGATCATGCCCTCAAATGTTCAAATGTTAGCAACTCTAGCATTGAGCAACATGGTTGCTTGCATAATTGTTGGAAATTTTAGTGTCTGGTTAGCTTTGAAGGTCTATTTATATAAACACTTTAGGCAGTGAAAAAATTCCAGCATTTGCTAGCCGTAATGATGTTTCAAATTTTTGTTAAAATTTTTTATCTTGTTGGAATCTTGATTTCTAAGTTCTTTCTTTTAATGAACCCCTTTTGCTGTGTTTGGCAATGTTCACACAACCAGGAACAGATGTGAATAATATCTGGACTGGACAGCCCTCATTAATCGACGATTCTTCACACACCGAATATTCTGCTTTACCTATCTAAGTGTATTTGAATATATGCTAGTTTGTAATGTCACTTCTCTTGGAAATCTATACTAGTTTCTCTTCCTGTTCCATCTTTTTCAATCTTCTTTGGTCTTTTATGATGTTTCAGGGTGCTGTTACGAAATATATGTCAGAGCTGTTACAAGAGAGGAAGCTAGGAAACAGTAAGGTTCTGAAAGATCTGGATGAAGCAAATATTGGGAGTTAGTTTTCTGTTTTGTTGTATTTTTATGGCAACAATGTGGACGTTATGATTAGCCATGTTAGAATAAGCAGAAAAGCATTTGAACCAAAATTGCTTGTGCGTTAGTAGTATTTTCACCATTCCAGAGATGTATACTGTGACTGTCTGATGATAATGTTCATTGGCTGATACAAATTTGCTGCTTCAGGCGTGAGAAACAAAATTGGTAATCAAGTTTGAGGGCGAGCAGTTGTTTGGGGGAGTAGTTGTGATGATCTATGAGATGTTTACTGCAATTCTATAATAATGCTTTGCCTGAAATGTTAAATGAATATGATAATCATATTAATGGGAATTGTAACCCGGTGCTGGTCAAGATATTTTGGTAGTTTCTTGAGCCCATCATTATTGGGTGGATGGAAATTACGTGAGACTGATTAGGCTTTGCTTTCGTTCTTGAGAAGGGCAGTGATTAGTGAAGGAGGAATGACGTCTTTATCTACTAAATCTTGTATGTGTACATAGTATAACACTACACATTGGTCTCACATTCTTTTCTGCATCGTCGCACTCTAATTATGTTATTTCATACGTAGGTGAGAGGTGACTGCATTATTTAATTTAAAATTCAATCGAACTTGCTAATTTTAATCTAAATACTATTATTTAGCTCATACACTTTTTATAATAAGATAATGCTACGCTGTCCCTCTCTGTATATATAAGCCAAAACAAAAGCAACACTCACTGCTCAATCCATGTTAATAAAACAATTGCTTTTTAAATTAAATGAATAAAAGTAAAGCTAATTAACAAACGTAATTGCTTACTAAAAGTATTGCCTATCTAGGTAATAAAGGATAATAAATAAAACAGGCAAAATGTGTTGCAGGTTTCTAACTTGTGCACTTCTGTTGCATGCTTTTCAGTGTTGTCAACGATAACCACCGCATTGTTTTAATGTTAATGATTATTTGGTTTTCAAAACCGTTTTCTTTTCCCTTCATTAATCTGTTTATTCAAGTTGTTAAATTTGTTTTTTAGTTCGTTTCTTTTTCTTGTTTAAAAGATTTGAAAAGAGTTTTATTTTGTATTATCTGCTTTCAGAAGACTAGATACATACTACTGGATATACCTGATTGAAAGGCTGAAAAAAACTCATGATCAACATTTTAAGTGATAAGACAAAAAACTTAAAGAATGGAACATGTCCGAGAACATAACAATACTCATCATCATTATTATTACAAATTATATTACCTCATAATTTTGAGAGAATCAAATGATCAGTATGTGCTGTGACACCCCACTCCTGAAAAGGACAGTGAAAAAACGACAACTTTCGTAAACATCGCGATATGTTCGAATCTGCGTAGAAAATAAAAAGAAAAAAAAATGTGTCACTTCGTCACAACATGCCCACTGATTGTGAGATACCTGTGGTCACTGTCATCAATGGTACTAAGGTCATTTACTTAGCCAAACCCAAAAGCCGTCACCACCAAACTAAGTCATATTATGATTATGATTTATTAGTACAACTTTTTATTTTTTTATATATATTTTTGTCTCTAGTAAGTTTGAAATTTTGGTACACCATATGCATGTCCAGCATTTTTAACTGCCCCTCTGAATTTGTCTGAGTCTGAGCTGTTAACTTTCCCCACACAATTTTTTCTGGGTTTGAAAAAGAAAAAGGTAAAAGAAGAATCTGGGAGTAGTAGTTTTAGGAAAGCAAGAGGAAAAGTACTCATTCAGTGAGGTTTTGAATTGTTCAACTTGAGATGGCATCATTTGCAGGGACTACCCAAAAATGCAAAGCATGTGAGAAGACTGTATACTTGGTGGATCAGCTCACTGCTGACAACAAGATCTATCACAAATCCTGTTTCAGATGCTACCACTGCAAGGGTACCCTTAAGGTTAGATAACACTTTTTTCCCCTTTAGAGCATACCAAGAGCAAACTCAAGTCCATGCTATAAACTTGAGTTTTCTCTGTATCTTTGTGTGATGAGGCATTTGACTTTCGTACCGACATGTTTTATTCAGAAAACGTGCATCTTTGTTTGTTAGTTTGTTGTGCAGCTAACTTAGCTGATTCACTTGATTCTTTACTTGGATTGATGATGATTAAATTGTATGCTATTGCTTCAGTGCAACTGCATGGTGAGTGTTTCGTAAGGAAGTTTGATTTGGATTACCTAATAGTTAATTTGTTCTGTTTCTAGTAATTATAACAGTGTTTGGTGCATAAATTGAATCGAATTGTTAAAGAAAACAATCAGTTTAGTCATGGAATTGAGGATGGAAATAAGAGTATATGAAGATGGGTATTATAGGTTAGAGAGGAAGATCAAGATTGACATAGGATGAATAAATAAATAGTGAATACTTGGTTTTGAGAAAGATTGTGTATAATATTGTGGCCCTGAGTAGTTAAAAGCTAGTGATTGATCTATCTAAAGGTATGGAATGGAATAAAGGCTTGAGATTTTTATTAATTAAAGTTCTGGTTATATAGCTGCTATTTACCCTTTTCTTCTTTTTCTTCAAACAGTGCTTCACATTCTTCTGCAAATGTAATTTGCCATTCCAATTTTTTCTTTTATCCCCATAATTACTTGTTCTTGTATGATCATGCATTTATACACCTTTTGGCGTGATCCAACGAGCACACTCTGGTATTCTGTTGTCCTTACACAATGGAAATTTATGAATTTTCCTTTGATCCTGCAAAGCGTGCCATTAATCTGAATGTTGTCTTACTCACTGATATTTTAAAACAGCTATTCATTTCCATGATGTCCATTTAACTTGTCGATTTTTTTTTTATTTTTTTAGATTAGATTCTATAAGCGAATCATATGAAATAGAAATCGATGTTTGTATGGATGAAAGTTTGTCATTGTGTAGAAACTTCTTGGTTGAACTTGCAGGGCACACCATGCCTTTATCTAATTGCTCTCTTATTCAATGAGATATTCGAGTTTGCGACTCATTAAATATAAATTATCGGTTCCCATTAGTATCCATTTGACTCGATAATGTTAGATGTAAAATATTGAATCTCTAAGCTGGTCACATGAAATAGGAACTAATGCCAGTCCTAATGATTGTTTTTGTTAGAAGCCTAAAGCTTGAAATTGTCAAAGATCTAATGATGAATACATATTTTATCCTCTTTTCCTTATGCATCCTTGCAGTTGAGTAATTATTGTTCTTTTGAGGGTGTTCTATACTGTAAGCCTCATTTTGATCAACTCTTTAAGAAGACAGGCAGCTTGGACAAAAGTTTTGAAGGTGAATTATTGTTATTTACTTGTTTCTGATACATAAACACTTACAATTTCTAATACATTATCCAAATCATCCTGTTTCTAAGCTTATTTCTTCTTGATTTCTCATTAACTTTCATATTTATTGCTTGTAGGGATTCCAAGAACTGTCAGACTTGAAAGATCTACTGATCAGGTTTTCCAAATCTGATTAACTACAAAATATTTATTTTCACCCTTAGAATTCTTATTTAGTGTTCTTCAATGGAGGTTTTTTTTTATAACTTTTGTGTTTGATTTCTTACATAGTAAATTCTCTCTTGACTTCTTCAGGTCCAAACCAATAGCAAGGTTTCAAATTTGTTTGCTGGAACTCAGGAAAAATGTGTTGCTTGCAAGAAAACCGTGTACCCAATTGAGAAGGTAATCAACTAATTTTATCAAAATTTTCTTCATATTGAGGGAAAGTGATCTTTATTGTCGAAGTCTTCTTCTAAATTATTATATAGAGTAAACTAAGAAGTCCTAGAATCTCTTAATTCAAGTTCTTACTTTCATCAAATTTTGACCTTAACAGATGTGAATTTATAAAACATCAAAATTCTTTGCCCAACATTTTTAACGTGAACATTTTAGCTTCCCTCTCAAACATCATTTGATTTGTGTTCTACTGTTCCTTATTCAAATTTAGATCTAGAATCTTAGAACTTAAATTCTGTTAAAGTAAAAATGAAAATAAAAGCTAATCCTCTGATACACAGTATAGAGAGCCCATCAAGTAAATAATAGCTTAGAAACACAGGAAATCTTGAGCTAACAATGATTCAGCTTAGCTATTGGCTACATAATGTATCCATTATTTTCTGAAGTCAAATATTGCATTCAAACAAAATAGTAGACATTAGCAAAGCAGTGAAAACAACTCATATCTCGGGTCATTTCTAATTGTTTGACAATGTAAAAATCTTTATACCGACAATATATCAAAATTAAACTCTAACAAAATGGAATTAAGCCACTATAAAAAAGAAAATCTATCTTGGAGTAAAGTTCATAAGACCGGCTATAGTAACCTCTTTCACTTCATTAAAAAAATTAGAGGGCGAGATACTCGTTTTATCATTTTGTGATCTGATCATTCAAGACCATAAATGAATAGTTGAACAACATTTGTTTCTCTAAGTCACCATTTTTAATTTGGGAAAAATCAGCAAGGAGTAAGTCCATTTAATTTCTGTATACTAATCGGCAAATGGAAATGTCAACACCTTATTTTTCTGTTGGTGGAGAAGGAGGCACAACGACAACTTAGTCTCAATTTAGGTCTTTGTTATCATTATGGGGTTGCAGAGGAAGAGAAGAGAGTGAGAGAGCTATTTTTAAACCATGAGTTCTTGTTAACTTTAGAAAATTTTAGTGTTTTGTATTATATTATGTCTGATATTAATAATGGCACTATCCATTGTTCTTTTTCAGGTAGCTGTTGATGGAACATCTTACCATAAGGCTTGTTTCAGGTGCACTCATGGAGGATGTGTAATTAGCCCATCAAACTATGTGGCACATGAACATCGCCTTTATTGTAGGCACCATCACACACAATTGTTCAAGCAGAAAGGTAACTTCAGTCAACTTGACAAACAAGAAAACAATGAAGGGGTGACTGAGAACACAACAACTGAGTAATAGCATGCATGCAACTTTCAAGTTACAGTGGCAATACATGTTCAGATGGTGACTCTTTCAGGAATCAAATGCCATTGTTTCAATCAACATTTCTCTGTTTATTATGTACTTGAAAAATTTTGTGAGACAAATTTTGGGGTTGATAATTGAGAAGAATTAGTGGGCAGTTTGGCTTAATCATACGGCTGACCAATCTGCATTTTGCTTTCAAGCTTTATGAAGTTTGTGTTTTTCATTACTGTAATAAATTATGGTCTTCTCTGTAAATTTCCTGTTGATTTTGATTACTCACATTAAAAAAAAAAACTTTCTGCACTTTGTATTAGTAGAATGAATTTCTTCACAATTGAGTTTAATTGACAACTAGGAAAACATTAGGAGCAACTTTGTTCATGAAATTATGAAAGACTTCTTGAAGTATTAGCTATGCTAAAGAAAATATAGAGCCTCACTTAACTTTATGTTTGGTGATCTTTATGCGTTAAAAGGAATTAGACTCCGACTATCAATTAAATGATATCTTTGGTTAAAAAAAAGCATTAACAGTCTAACTAATTAGTAACTCTATGTTTGAAAATGTAATCGAAGTGTATTTTGGACCTATGTTCATTACATGCAACTAGTGAAATTTTAGAAGGCAAATGTACGATTTTCAGGAATATATACGTAATATATTTTGAGATAATAAATATTTTGTACATTTAGACATGAGAAGATAAATTACGTTAAATAAATTATATAATTTTATTTCTCTTGTAGTATTTTTATGTGTTTCCTCATCGTTAGGCTTAAAGAATAGATGAGAAGTATTTTGTTTCCCGATAGATTATAGGTGCCTTTCAAATTTACTTGATTAGTTGATGCAACCGGGAAAAAGAATTTCACAATGAATGGCTGCAAGTTGACTTTGTTATCTAAATGTTTTGCATGGCGATACTTGGCACAACATTAAAGATTCTCGGTCAACTTTTAAGGCTATTGGTTTTTACATTTTTGTGTAATGTGAAATATGACCTCTTGCAATGATTGGTCTCATTCACTACCATACTTTTTCGGCCTGAGCTATGTTTGCGGAATTTCCTTTCCACCTAGTCTCTTTGGAACAAAAACGAGAAACGTCACACCGTTAATTTTAAGGTGTTAATTTAGTTATATAATTAAATGTTGGTTGTTGTTAATACTATAGTTTTAGAATTATGGAGTTAATGATCTTTGAGAATTAAATTATCTTTGAAGTAATTCAATCGGTTCAGCTTAAGAGAGGTATATAAGATTTTTCTTAAAATGTGAACTTCATAAGTTGATATTTTAAGAAAATCTTATAAAGAAGTTAGTGAGAAGTTCTCTGAAACTTACGTAAATCTTTTCCACTGTAAACACCAATTTTGTTACATTAATTTTTCTAATAATTTCTTTCTTAAATCTCCAAATAAATTATTCAAGAATTAAAGAATAATATATATATGTGGGTATATATATTGTTATGAAACTTAAATTAGGAGTTTTATTTTTGTTTTAATAATATTAATGGTGTGAATTATGAGAGGCATTTAAAATATGTAAACGTTGTTTTTTGTCAGCTACAAATAAGTGTAATTTCATTTGCAACATGAATGCGAATATAGAGAGTTTGTTTTGCTCCCAAATTTATGCCCTTTTCTCATTAACAAATTGGCATCAGAGCTTGTGTGCGTGAGGTGAGAGTGAGCCGACCTGAGCTGACCTGAGCCGACCTGGTGTACCCAGCCTGAGAGAAGAAAAAAATTCTTGTGAGGTGTGTGAGTGGAGCGTATACATCCAAAGGAGTATATCTAATTTCTGCTCCGACTAACATTCGACTTAAATAATAAATGGCTCTCTCGATACCATTATCATCATCTTGCGCCAGCATGCCCGCAATAGTCGAATCGCTAGCTGAGATATACAACTTGAGTTGCTTCCCTTTAGAGAGTGGTGCAAGCACTGGAGGATGAGCCAAGTACTCTTTGATATTTTCGAACGCTCTCTGGTGTTCCTCTTTCCATTGAAACTCCTGCTCCTTTTTCAAACGTAAGAGAGGAGAAAACACTTTAGTTTTTCCAGACAAATTCAATATAAATCTTCTTAGAAAATTTACTTTACCTATGAGAGATTGAAGTTCTTTTTTGTTCGATGGAGGCTTAGTCTCCATAATGGCTTTGGTTTTGTTCTTATCCACTTCGATCCCTTTCTGGTGTATGACAAATCCCAAAAATTCTCCTGCTGTAACACCAAAAGCACATTTTAGTGGATTCATTTTTAAACCATGTTTTCTCATTCTCTCGAAAGATAATTTCAAATGGCATAAGTGATCCTCCTTTTGTTTCGATCCAACAACTATGTCGTCAATATAAACTTGTACAAACTTACCAATTAAATCATGGAATATCAAATTCATTGCCCTTTGATAAGTGGCTCCTGCATTTTTCAATCCAAATGGCATCATCACCCATTCATAAACACCTAACGCACCTGGACATCGAAAAGCAGTTTTCGATACATCATTAGCTGCAATATAAATTTGGTTATATCCAGAATAACCATCAAGTAAACTCATAATTTCATTACCTGCAGCAGCATCTATCATAGTTTCAGCAATGGGCATAGGATACTCATCCTTTGGGGTTGCTGTGTTGAGGTCTCGAAAATCAATGCATACTCTGAGTTTCCCATTCTTTTTTATAACAGGCACAATATTCGAGATCCACTCAACATATCTTGAAGTTCTGATGAACTTTGCTTTTAGTAATCTTTCAATTTCTTCCTTGATTTTTTTGATTACTTCAAGAGCGAACCTTCGAGGATTTTGCTTAACAGGTTTCCTTCCGGGGATCATGGGTAACCTATGTTCCACCAACTCTCGATCTAATCCCGGCATTTCATCATAATCTCATGCAAAGCAATCTTTATAATCGTGTAACACTCGAATTAATTCCTCCTTTAAGTCTTCTCGCAAGAACTTGCTCACATAAGTCACTCTTCTATTTTCGACCGTTCCCATGTTAATTTCTTCGAGGGGATCCTGAGATTCTAATTTATGCTCTTCCTTAGTTGCTCTTTCAAATCCCAACGGTGAATCATCGAAAATACAATCTAACTTGGGTTCTAGTTCTTGCTCTTTGCCTTCTTTTGATTGTTCGACCTCCTAGTCTCTTTCTATTTTTTCTTTTTCTGTTTTTCTCGACCCAACTTGGTCCTCTTGGTTTTTCTCTGTTTTTTCTCTTTCATTTTCTTCGACTTTGCAGTCTACATCCTTTTTCTTTCTTTTTGGTTTTTCTTCGGCCGAAGTGGCCGTGCTATTTTCATCAATTTCATTTGAACGTGCCTCTTTACTTTCATCTTCCTCGGCCATGTTGGCCGTTTGGTCGGCCACATAGGCCGATATTCGAGCTATGAAGCTCGAATAAGGATCTTCATCCTTCATTTCTCTAGTGGAGCCGAATCCTTTTCGGCTCAAATCACAAAACCTTTCTTCACGTCCCAACAGAAGGTTTTCTTAATTCCTTCTTCTTCATCCATCACTCCAGAATTATATGCGTCGAAAGGTTTGGTCTTTGCAAATGCTGTCAATTGTTGATCATCAAAATACATACCAACCTCATACGTTTTCTGGTCAGCCTCGAGAACTTCCAATCCTTCGTCATCGTTCCAGAAGAAGATCTTTTGATGCACCGTGGAAGGGACGGCTCCCACCCCATGGATCCATTCTCGACCCAGCAGGACATTAAAATTCGCCTTGGATGGCGTTACTATAAACATGGTAGTCCTCTTCACACTTCCAATTTGCACATCGAGCAGAATCATTCCTTCAGGGTGTGAAGATTTTCCTGCATAATCCGAGATCATTATGTTGTGAGGCTTTAAATCAGCCAAGGATTTTCCAAACCTCTTCAACATTGTCTTTGGGTAAGATGTTCACAGCTGCGCCTCCATCGACCAAGACCTTATTCACCTCTTGCCCCTCGATCATCAATGTCAACAATAGGGGCTTAAGATGTCCTTTCATTTCCTCCTGGGAGAGTCGAACACAACAGAATTGAATTTGGGGATAACCCTCGAGATTTGATTGACCCATATGATTTTGGATTCATAGTTGGGGTCATCGAAGAAGTCTTCCCTATGGATATCCTCTTGTTCATTCACTGACTCCATAGCCCCAGCATACTCGGAGGGTAGAATGGAGACTACTCCACAAATATCTTCTAGGGAGTCCTCAAAACCACTCTCGAAGCAATCTGTAATCATGTCTTCATCATCCTCGATGAACTTCCGAGATGATTCTCCTTTTTGAGGTACCAGAATCGAGAAACGGTTTCCTCCAAGACCCTCAAAGGTAGCCTTCCGCATCCTTTGTTGTCTTATCCACTGGGTTTTGGTCAGATTATTGAAAGGCTGTCGAAATCCTCGCCCATAACTTCCAGTTGAGAACTTCCCAGAACCTGGAGCCATATTCGAGAACTTCTCAAGATTTCCTTGTACTGGGTTCCTTGCATAAGTCATTACTTAGAGATGGCAAAGTGGGCCATGGCCCGCGGGCTGGCCCGTTGGCCCGCCAAAAATTGGCGGGCCGGGCCAAGCA